CAGTCAAACCGCCATAGCGTCGTCAAATCTTCATGGAATTTCATGATTCAACTTGCTGCTGATAGACGACAGCAACACGCTCCAGATCCAATTTACACATCACCGTTTGATTCAGTGACCAGATCGTTATCAGTATTTGAAGCCGTCTGACAGAAATCCGACTGTGCTCTCTATCTCTCATTATAGGCACATCTAAGCCTATTGTGATTATAACAAGTGGTATCAGAGCCCCTTGGAGCTGTCTCGACCATGCCTAGGCCTGAGGAAGGGGGTGGCAGAGGTGTTGGAGGCAGAGAAGACGCCCAAGCACAAGGTCAACACCAAGATCCACCCGTTGCTCCGGTGCAACCTAGCCTTGGACCCTCTAGGGATGAGCCTAGAGTGTTTGGCCTTGACAAGTTCAACGGTGACAACTTTGCTGAGTGGTCCTTCAAGATGGAGAACATCTTTGACCATTATGATCTGCTGGAGGTGATGGAAGGAACGGAGAAGCGCCCGAGAACGACCCGGAGAAGAGCCCGTGGGTGCGGAAGAGCGCACAAGGCTACCTTCTACTTGGGCAAGCGTTGGGGAGCAGCCAAATCCGTCACATCAAGCCTTTTCAGCGTGAACCAGCAAAGGGACCAAAGGCATGGGCTGCTCTCAAGGGTGTACACGCTCCTGCAACAGCGGCGGTGGCTGTGGTTTTGGAGCGGCAAATGGCGGCACTTCGAATTGACGAAGGCGAACCGGTGGAGGAAGGAGTGCAGAAATTCTTCGACTTGTTGACACGGCTCGAAGGAGCTGACCTGAACTACAGTGACCTTCAAAAGAAGACCAAGCTGCTAGCCTTACTTCCGGACTCATGGTCCTCGCTCATCATCAACCTTAATCGAGATCTGCCCCGTCTCTCACTCGAAGATGTGAAGCGGGAAATCTTACAAGAAGATTTCCGCCGTCGCGAATTGGCGGGTCCCGATGGTGCCGGAGTTGCAAGCATGGGCCGTGGGCACGGCCGTGGAAGGGGCAGAGGGCGAGGAGGCAGATTTGGCAGCAGCAACTTCAATGGAGGCCGTGGTAATGGAGGATATGGCAGCAACAACAATGGCTACGGGCGTGGGCGCGGTCGATTTGATGGCGAATGCCACTTTTGCCACAAGACCGGCCACATGTGGAGAGATTGCTTCAAACTACCTGATGGCTGGACCCCCTCTCAAGGCCAAGAGGGCAGAGGAGCAAGGGGAGGAAGAGGCAGAGGTCGTGGAGGCCGTGGTGGCCGTGGAGGCGAAGCGGCAAGCATGAAAGGTGGAGACTACGACAAGGACTCGAGTGAAGATCGATACCCGGGCCAATTCTTCTTTGTCTCCACGCAAGCGGCAGCTGCAGCAGGAGGTGTGGAAGGCTTTGAGGAGCCAGCTACTGTGGGAAAGGTCACCCTTCACTCTCTGGACTTTTGGGTGATCGATAGCGGCGCCACCTATAGCATGACACCTCGTGCGGACTTGCTCACCGAACTCGAACCGTCGCCGGTCAAGCATGTTACATCGGCTTTGGGACAGCGAGCAGAGGTGAAAGGCATGGGCAAGGCCATGTTCAAGGGTGCTGATGGGAAGATGGTGGGCCTCAAGAACGTGCTTTTGGTGCCCAACCTAGCAGCCAACCTGATTTCCGTTCGGCGTTTGCAAAAGGCCGGCATGGACACATCTTCCAAGGGTTCGAAAACATATACCGCGAGGCTTGGTGAGCGGAAGCTTTGGGACCTTCATGAGGACAGGGACATCTACAATGAGATGTGGCAAATCCCAGTGGTCCCCATGCCTAAGGAGAGGCAAGTGGCAGCAAGCGTCAGCACCAAGAGTGAAGCGGATGGTGGCGGTGATCACGGAAAACAAAGTGACACCAAGAGTGACTCGAAGGAGTGCAATCTTGGAGAGACCAGCAAGGCGTGTGAACCCAAGGAGAGTAGTGCAGCAGCCAAAGGTGGTGGAAATGAGGAGGGGAAACCTAAGATCAGCAAAGCAGCAGCGGCGAAGGAGAAAGGAGAGAGCTTGTGGGACACGATTGCGAGTGCCGCTTTCTCCAACCCGACTTCCGCTACGGGAGAGTGTGATTGGCTGACCTTGCATCGGCGAATGGGGCATGTGGCATTGCCCATTTTGCAGCAGATAGTTAAGCAAGAGATGGTCAGTGGGATACGTGTCAAGGGGGAGCCCAATGAGGTGCTTGGCTGTCCAACATGCATGCAAGCCAAGTTCACCCGCTACCCGTTCCATAGCTCGGAGACAACGGCGAAGGCACCACTTGATGAGGTGGTGATGGATGTGGTGGGCCCCTTGAAGCTTGGAGCTGCTGGAGCTGCGTACTTCCTCACCATTGTGGACGTCTACACTCGCATGACTTGGGTGTATGTGCTGCCAAAGAAGAGTGACGTAGCTGAAACGGTGAAGACCGATTGGTTGCCGATGGTGGAGCGGCAACAAGACCGACTTGTGAAGGCGATTCGCACTGACCGTGGGGGAGAGTTCCTGAGCAAGGATTTCTCAACTTGGCTGAAGAAGCAGGGCATAAGGCACTCTCTTACCATGCCCTACTCTCCTGCAATGAACGGCATCGCCGAGCGTGCGAATCGGACACTCACGGAGACGGCTCGGGGACTTCTCATTGAAGCCGGTCTTCCCAATTACTTTTGGCCGGATGCGGTGCGGCATGCTTGTGTGGCCAAGAACAGAGCCTTGACTCATGTGGGAGAAGACAAATGGGTGCCCTATGTGGAGTGGATTGGAAGGAAGCCGAAGGTGGATATGCTTCGGGTGTTCGGGTGCATGTGCATGGCACTTGTGCCTAAGAAACTTCGGCACAACAAACTTGATGCCAAGGCAACATGGGCCGTGCACCTGGGCATGGCTCAAAACAGCAAGGGATGGCTTCTTTGGGACCCATTTACCAAGAAGTTCTTGGTGAGCAGAGATTGCAAGTTCATGGAGAACTTACCGTACAAGGAGTGGAAGGCGGAGAACCAAGCGAAGATTGGTATGCGGCTTGGAGAGGTGAAGAGTAACGGCTTGGAGCATGTGGAGCTGCCCTTGGAGCTGAGTAGCAGCAGCACAGTCACGAGGCAATCTCCTCAAATGAATGGGGATGAAGAGGAGGAGGAGGTGCAGCAAGGTGATGAGCGTGCACCGTCACTTCCGCCTCGTGCTACAAGTGCTCGTGGGAACCGACCAGATTTACCGCAATGCCATGAGAGCATTCAAGTCCCTGCAGCAGAGGAGGAAGGAAGGGGGAGAAGGAGAACTCAGCCCCCTAATAGGTTGAGCTATGATCGGCTTGGAAGACCAGCCAACTCAACCTTGACCGGTTCGGCTCTCATGCTAGGCGATGATGCGGAAGATGAAAGCGAGGAGTGCGCCTTTGCCTTCTTCTCTCCGGTGGAGATGCCGGGGGAGCCTACAAATCCCAAGGAGGCTTGGGAGGGCCCCAATGGGAAGGAGTGGAAGAAGGCCTCAGATGAAGAAATGGGGAGCATCATCGAGAACGACACGTTTGACTTGGTGAACCTACCTCCGGGGCGTAAGGCGATCTCTTCCAAGTGGCTCTTCAAGCGCAAGACCGACGCCGACGGCAACATCGAGCGCTACAAGAGCAGACTTGTAGCCAAGGGGTATCAGCAGCAAGAGAAGAAGGACTACAATGAAGTGTATGCTCCTGTGGTGAAGGGTACAACCCTTCGAACCCTCTTCGCCGCGGCGGCCATCAAAGGATGGGTGGTGAAGCAAATGGATATCGTAACGGCCTTCCTCAACGGCGTTTTGGAGGAAGAAACCTACATGGAGCAGCCAGAGGGGTACAATGATGGGAGTGGCAGAGTGTGGAAGCTGAAGAAAGCACTCTATGGCCTCAAGCAAGCCCCTAGGCAATGGTACATCAAGCTGCGGGAAGTTTTGGAGGCGATCGGCTTCACTCCCTCAACGGCCGATCAATCGTTGTTCATGCTTGGCGAGGGGGAGCAGAGGAGCTTCATGGTGGTTTATGTGGATGACATCCTTATATTCTCACCCTCCTCTGACCTTGTGAAGGAGGTGATGCTGAAGCTTCAAGACAAGTTCAAGTGCAAGACCCTTGGTGACGTCAACTACTACCTTGGGCTTCACATTGAGCGAGATGTGGAGAAGCGGTGGATGCGAGTGCATCAAAAGAAGTACTTGGAGGCCTTGGCTGCAAACTTTGGGAAGAGTGAAGGTCATGTGGCTACTCCTCTTCCCTCAGGGTTCAAGTGTGTGAAAGGACCAGCGGAGGAAAGTGTTGGTGAAGAGGAGAGGCGCCGTTTTCACTCCTTGGTGGGCAGCCTCATGTATGCGGCCGTTCACACAAGGCCGGATGCAGCCTTTGCTACCGGGCAGCTGGCTAGGGTTGTCCAATGCCCTAATGAAGAGCAGGTAGCAGCTGGAGAGAGAGTGGCCAAGTACCTTGGCCAAACAGCAACTGTTGGACTGCAATACTCCGCGGCGGCACAGAGGCGTCAAAAGGGTGCGGATGGAGTCGAACCCGGGAGGCTTTTTCTCACCGCCTTCTCTGATGCATCTTGGGCATCAGAACCAGAGGACATGACAAGTGTGGGAGGCTTCATCTGCTGTGTTGGTGGAGGGCCAACAGCTTGGGAGAGCAAGAAGCAAGTGGACCAAGCATTGAGCTCGGTGGAGTCCGAGTACATGGCACTCTTCCGTGCCATAAGAGAGGTTGTGTGGCAGCGGCGTTTGCTAGCTGAATTGGGGGAGGAGCAGCAAGGACCTACCCCACTCTACTGTGATAGCCAGGGTGCTATTGCATTGGCTAAGAACCCCGTTCTTCATGGCCTTACCAAGCACATGAAGGTGAAGTGGCATTGGGTGAGGAGCATGGTAACCGCGGGTGAAGTGGAGTTGCACTACGTGAAGACGACGGCGCAGCCAGCTGATATGATGACCAAGAGGCTGGTTGAGCAGCAGCATTGGAAGTGTTGCAAGCTTGCTGGGATGGCTCTGAACTAAGGGGAGCAGATTCTAAGGCCAACAATCCGAGGGGGAGTTTGTTGGTGCAACCCTATGGCTTGCACTCGGCTTGTCGTCCTTGTTTGTGTGTGTGCATGCATGGCATGGAATGAATTGTGAGTCTATGTCATTGCTATCCAGTGCTTGTGTGTGTGTTTGAATGGTGTATCACAATGTGGTTTGTGCCGGTCAAGACATTAGCAAGTTTTTACAACTCGCATGTCAAGTCGTCGTTTGTGTGTCGCATGTGTTTTTTCTATTTTGTCGAGTGTGAAGTGTCGATCGTGTCGCAGGTGTGTGCAGCAAGCCCCCATCAACTCAAGAAGAATTTATCTTGCAGATCCAGGAACAAGAGCTCAAGATTTCAAGCCCAAGGGACGCGGATAAATATTAAATAGTGAAAATAGTAACGTTACTTCGTGTAGTGTTACATTTCACTTGGTGTAGCCCCTTGGAGGGTTGGTTTCGAGACTCTTCATGGTTGGGGACCCTGTGGTGGTGTACCACCAACCTGGACCTCGGCTCTTGGGGTATGTAGAGGCTGGGAACCATCTCCCTCTCGAACTCTTCTTGCTAAGTTTGTACTCCTAAGACTATTGTGGCTGCTATACCTCCTGCCAGTCAAACCGCCATAGCGTCGTCAAATCTTCATGGAATTTCATGATTCAACTTGCTGCTGATAGACGACAGCAACACGCTCCAGATCCAATTTACACATCACCGTTTGATTCAGTGACCAGATCGTTATCAGTATTTGAAGCCGTCTGACAGAAATCCGACTGTGCTCTCTATCTCTCATTATAGGCACATCTAAGCCTATTGTGATTATAACAGCTCCTTCTAGAAGGTCGCAGGATCGGACGACGCGAAGTAGACGTCGCAGATATCGTAGATTTTTTCGGGTGGTATCGGCTCCTTAGCTCGAGCGGGCCTGCCGCAGTGGCGTTGCGCATACTCCTTCACTTGGGAAGATAACGGGCCGCGAATAGGAGAAGGAAGGCCGACCAGCCAATGGGCACATGAGATGGCAGAACATGCGGATCGCAATGCTGAAATAGTGGCGCCACTGCGGATCGAGTGCAACAGGAACAGTGCTGCCGTAAGGTCGCTTGCAGGTAGAAAAGGAAGTGAGTGCGCGGTACAAAAGGCCCGATACTGTCGCCAGTAGGGCTCGTATGTTCGAAGAGTAGACTGTGCACGAAGATCGACTGTGAGCGTCAAGAGATCCAAAAGTAAGCGGCCGAGGGAGGAATCTGCGCAGAAGCACATCGCTATGTATTAGTGAATAGCAAGCGAAGCGCGTACATCAATGAGTTCGGGAGACCTGCACCGCTAAAGGCAGAATGGTCGCTACCAATGCGCAAACAACTAGAGCCAGGAGCAAGGTGAATGGTTGCGACCACAGCGGGGGCCCAAGAGGAGCCGTCCGGGCATAATAGTGGCCACCAAAAGGCGCTAGGCCAATGCGGGACTACAAGGGTGAGCGAGGTGCGCGAGCGGCGGGCGTGAGCGAGGACAGCGGGGATCAGAGGTGGGGGAGGAAAGGCATAGTAGTTGTCGCCCGACCAGCTAAGAGAAAACGCATCCTGCGCGACTACCGCATTAGAGAGCTCGAGCGAGCAAAAACGAGCTAGTTGCGCATTAGCGGGGGAAGCGAACAAATCAATAGTATGAGGACCCCAACGCCTCTCTAGCAGAAGGAACCAAGGCCGTGCGAGAGAGTAATCGTCGAGAATATCCAACTTGGAGAGTGTGTCGGCTTCTGTATTAAGGGTGCGTGGGATCCACTGGACTGTGAGCCGAATTTGGTGGCGCACGCAAAAGTGGATAATAGCTCGGCATATCAGAGTCAACTCAAGCCGGCGGGAACCCCCTTTTTTCATAATGTAATACGCTACTTGGCTGTCACTGCGGAGTAGGACGTGCGAGCGTCGGACCTTGTCAAGAAAGGTTGACAGTGCCCAAAGGATGCTAGCAAGTTCGCGGAGCGTGCTGGATGAAGAGACGAGGGCCCGGGGGAGTGGTGAAGCATGCGAACCGGCGTCGCCGTCCGGCGCTGAAAAACACGCGCCCCATGCACGATCACTGGCATCCACATACATCACGACGTCGTAGAGATGAGGATTGTGGAAGCGTGATCCATTGAAGACATCGAACTGGGTGAGCCAGCAACGCAACTCGTCGAGAGAATTGGGTGTCAAGAGAATTGACGCCCCCCAAGAGTGACACTCAGAGATCTGAGAAAGAAGATTGTGGGAGAAGGCACGCCCAACCGTGCCAAGTGCGAGCGCCATGGAGGCTAGCAAGCCAGTGATGCGAGCGGCCCGACGGACTGGGATAGGCCGCCCTTGCGCGCTAAGTGCACATGTCTGCTCAAGTTCGGCGAAGAGTCGCTCGCGTCTGCCGTTATCGACAGAGAAAGACGTGGTGCGAGTGTCCAGCAGGAGGCCCAAAAACTTTAGGCACTGGGTTGGTTCGAGCTGCGACTTCTTGAAGTTGACAGCGAAGCCAGCTGACTGAAGATCCGATAAAATGACGGCACGGTGGCAAAGGGCCTCGGCTCGAGTAGCGTTAATGAAGAAAATGTCATCGACGTATGGGATAAGTCGGATGCCGCGTCCGCGCCAACGTTTTGCGAGCTGCTTGATCAGCTAAGTAAAAACGAATGGCGCAGTAGCTAGACCAAAAGGCAATGATAGAAACTGGTAGCGCTGCCCTTGGAGTGTAAAACCAAGGAAGCACCAATACGAGGGATGGATATCCACATGGTGGTAGCCGGATTTTAGATCGATGGTGAATAGCCAATCGTCTTGCTGCACCAAGTCGGGCACCCGATTCAAGCCCTCGTAGCGAAAACGGGGGGCGGAAAGAAATGAATTCACGTGGCGGAGGTCCAATATGAGCCTCTTTTTGGAAGGTTGGACGACTACGTTAAGCGGGCTGATGCATGTGAGTGGCTCCGATGGAGGAACGAGCCGGGCCGCTCCCGTAGCGAGGAGCTCGTCCACCGCCTCCACCGCGAATGTGTGGAATTGGAGTGCCCCGGCATGGTTTGAGGCATGCCGCACTGTAGGCTCTGAAGAAGCCCAGGGAAGGCGGTAGCCTGACGCGAGGACCGATAGCATGAAGCGGCTATCACACCAACCAGACCACCATGCAAGGCAGGCACGCAGGCGTCCTCGCATACGGATTGTATCACCCGATGTGGCAACATGTACGGCGAAGGAGCCAAGCTCTGGTGAGGGGCGGTGACGAACAAGTACAATAAAAAAGCCGCAAGGGCCGGATGTAAGTTATCGTTCTTGACGGTACAAATACGTTTGCCGAAACATGCATATTTTCACAGAATAGTCGAAGCGAAAGCAAGAATGAAGGCAACACTTTTCGCAGTGTGTGCACCAGCAATGTTACAATCTTTGTCATGCTTTCATCGGTCGGAGGTGCGTGTTCCAATGTTCCACGTGCATTTTGTACCTTTTGGACTGCCTTTCTTTTTCGACACTTCTGCCGTTCTCATGCGTACCCCTACTCCCCTTTTTGGGGTTGTTGTTGTTGTTGTTATTGTTTTTTTTTTGTTTTTTTTTTTTTGCACGCAAATATTGAATAGCATATTGCCGTGCTATATTCGAAGTGGATTTGAGCCGCATGCTCGATCACGAATTGGCACAACATCAATCTTTAACATGAAATAATAGATTTATAGCATCAAGGTTTTACAAAGAATCGGCCCTCAAAGCCTCTAGACAATCTTAGCCGGCCGGTTGGCCCCTTGGCCTCGGGGAGGACAATCTTTAAACCCATGACCGGGTTCGCGACAATAAAAGCATCGACCGTCGCCATCCCGATGCCACGTATTCCAAGTATGTGCGTCTTCACCCCTACTACGAGGGGGGGGATCGGTGCGGGATGTTGAGGTGGTGGGTCTAGTAGGTCTCTTTTTGCTGGCCGCCACGATTTGTGCGGCGGCCTTAATGTTTTTATCTTCCACCACCTCCCCATATTTAATCTTTAGGGCCATATTGGCCACTTCAAAACCGCGTTGATCTGCGGTGAATAAGAAATGAATCTTTTCCTCCACCTCCTCGACTATCTGCTTGAGATAGTCGGCGGCTAACTCGCCACCACTAGGGGGCAAAGCGGAGAGCGCGTGCTGAGCAATAGCCTGGATACGCTTGAAACTAAAAAGTTGGGTTCGAATGCCGTCACTTTTTACCAAAGAAAAACACAACTGAGGATGTGAAGGAGGGATAGGAGCAAGATTCGGGGTGGTAGAACCGGACTTGAGACGAGCGGAATTACCTTCGTCGAGGGTTTCCATGGGCGCGTCGTCGTCCGCGCCATCGCCCTTCGGTTCGGCCGCGACGGGAGGAGGGCGGGAGCGTGGCACTGCTGCTGCCGCAGGTCGAGCAGGTGAAGGGGGTGGTGCTGGATCGCCGGATTGTCCGCGCTGAAGGGCCGCGCGAAGACCGATGACGTGATGAATTGCGTCATTATTAGCGTTGTCGTTGTTGTTGTAACGAGCAGGAATGTGTTCTGCAGATCGGGGCGCTGTAGAAGCAGAGGAGCGCGCTGTAACGCGTTCACCAATTGCAGCACCCGTGAAGATTCGCTGGAAATTTCGCTGGGTGGCAGGGTCCAGACGCGCCATTATTTCGGCGAAATTTGCAGATCCATTGGCGACGATGACAGGATCCTGCTGTGCGCGCTGATTCGTTGGACGAGATTCCAAATCGGCGTGGACGTCCAGATTCTGCGAATCGCCACGATCCTGAAGACCTGCTCGTGTAGGCTGCCCTGAAGAAAGGCAGTAGAGATGTCGAGGGAGTGAAGCTCGTAGTCGCGCTGTGCTGCTACGTGTAGCAGCGCCCGAAGAGTGGTCATCTTCGGGGTCGGGGCGAAGGTCTGGAAGAAGTCAACCCCCTCTCGCTGACTGAAGCCTCTGGCCACGTAGCGCGCCTTGAAGACAGGCGGCTCTCCAGGGGGGCGCTTCACCTTGAAGAGCCACCGACCATCGACTACGTTCACCCCAGGCGGGGGAACTGCGTCGACGTAAGTGCCGGTGGACCTCCAAGATGCCATCTCCTGCTCCATGGCAGCTATCCACTGAGAGGCCGAACGTCCCGAGGTGGCCTCAGTGTAGGTGCGAGGGGTCGGGATGCCGAAGGCGTCTGGGTCACCCTCAGGGACTAACAGCATGGAGCAGAGATGGGGAGCGGCCTCGGAAAGGAAAGCAAGCTCGTACTGCCTGTCCTCTAGAACGTCACTGCCAAGGGCAGGAGCACCCCCGATGGACGGAGGACAGGCAGGGTCAGAGACCAGAGCGGTGGCGTAGTCAACACGGCGGGTAGAGGCGAAGTCAGCGACAGCAGCGACAAGTGCGTCAAGGCGCGAGACAGGAATAGAAGGGTCGGTAACAAGAGAGGCAAGAACCCGAGGGACAAGGGGACGAGCGTCGCGGAGGTAGTCAGACAACGGAGGAGGTGCAACAGCAAGCGACGAGGGAGGAGGGGATGGGAGGAGGGGAGGACGAGACGAGTGGGAACGGAGCAGTGGCGGCGGCAGCGGCGGCGGCGGCGGCGGCGGCGGCTGCGGCGGAGTCGGCGACTGCGACAA